AAAAAAAAAAAAGGAAGAAAGAATTATAAGAAGAAATTGGTGATTTGGTTTAGGTGGTAGTACTGATGATAGTGTGAGATCGACTTTGGACTAATAATGTGTTGTCACATTGTGGTATATATGTTTGTTTGTATGATGGGAATATTCATTCATTCATGACAATTTGTTGTGTAAGTTTTGTAAAGTCGCTATTTTTTGGTGTACGTTTAACTTAAAATGTTCTTGACTCGGCTTTAAATCTCTATATTCTTATTTAATACTTACTCAACTTAAATAAAAATAGAAGAAATTAAAAGAAATAATGTGACCATGGCATGGCAATTAATTATTTTTAAAGAAATTGTTGTGATTTCATGTGATGTTAATTTTGTAATTTTTTAATTTTCTATATGCGATGACTAAAGAAATGGCTCAGTAAAGTCCTTTAATTTAGCGACAAGATAACGTTTTGTGTATATATATGTATGTGTTTGCCTGTTAATATATAAGAGTTGGCAAGCAATTAGGCATCTCTATTCTCTACCCCGTGAAAAAAGATTTTGTGTAAGACTAAAATTTCAACTAGAATTAATATGTATATATGTATATCATCTAATTGGGAAACATAATTATTTAATAAGATGCTAATTAATTAATTAATAGTATATATAATTTATTATTATTGTTGTCCAAATGAAATGCAGAAACAGAAGCTTGCTCTTGCGAAGCAGCTGAATCTTCGTCCTCGCCAGGTTGAAGTATGGTTCCAAAACAGAAGAGCAAGGTACGTACGTATAACACATTTTATTAATTTCATGAATTTTAATTTTTTTGAACAGAAGAAAAATAAAGGAGAAAAAGAAATTCAGGATTGAATAAATTAATTAATTAATTATGCACCACCAACCCCCAGCTTTCAATTAATAATAAGTAGTAGAGAATAGTTTCTTGATTCTCGTGAGAATTTAATGAGGCAATAATTGATTGGGATGATCGATCATTTAATGTTGAGACGTGGGCAAAACATTGTGTTGTCTGTGACAGGACAAAACTGAAGCAGACAGAGGTCGATTGTGAGTACTTGAAAAAGTGCTGTGAAACGCTCACAGAAGAAAATCGGAGGCTGCAAAAGGAGCTTCAGGAATTAAGAGCACTTAAGGCTACTCAGCCTTTTTACATGCAACTTCCGGCCACAACTCTCACCATGTGTCCTTCTTGTGAGAGGGTGGCCACCGCCACCACCGCCACCACCGCCGGCCATAACAACTTGTTGTCGGCGAATGATAAAGCCCAACAAGCTGCTTCTTGATATTATATATATATATATAATCAGTACGTACTAGCTAGTTATATATTAAGACAATTAATTATGGTGGGAAAATATTGTAGCTTTTTTTTTTTAGGTTTCCTTTCTTTGGGAAAGATTTTTTTTTTTTTTTT